GTTGTTTGTCAACCCTGTGATTGACTGGCGACCAGTCTCTTGCCCAATCACGACCCCGATAAGAAAAGCTGTATAGAAAATGGATGGATGGATGGGGTATAAAATTATGAAAAGACAAACATCTAGCAGGCAGCACTCATAATGATTCACTACCCAAGACATGCTAAATGGTGATGAAAGCTACAATGAGGCATTCGTCCAGGTCTTCTTTCCAGCTCTAATGTGTTCTGGATACTGCTGACTTGGCGCGACTCACCCGAGTCATCAGACACGAGCGGCAGCATGGCTGGCATTGAGAGGGTCTGACTTTGATAGAGTGACCTAATTACCCCGCGGATCTCTCCATGAAAGACTTGCTACTGCTGGCACTAAAACCTGTTATAAGATGGGTCACAGGTTGAAGCCTGCATGGTGTCCACCAAAACAGCGGATCAAAGCAGTGTGCCAGTGGAGTTGACTTCACAATAGAAGAGCTTCCTGTTGGGGGTAATGTAGGACGTTAGTGTGAAAAGGCGGTTCAGTACAACATAGGGATACTTAGCTCTCTTGACTTAGCTTTGTTGATCATTATTTACAGTTTTAATGCAAACCACAGTGGGCCTCATATAAGAACCACATGTATGAGCAGATTAGCTCTTAATTCACATGCAAGAGTGGTTAAAGCGCTCATTCACACGATACTTCTAATGCTTTGAAACTGGGTTGAATCACATGGAAGATTAAGATGGGATTTAGCAACAAATGAGTCACTGTTAGCTACATCACAAATCTTGTTGCTATCCATCGCTGTTCTCCCAACATTACATTCAAATCATTTGTCTTCCTTTAGCCTTTACAGTAGTGGAAGTAATAACCCTGACCTACACTAATGAGGCAGGTTAAACCGATTTATTTGCGACTCTGGAGTCAAGATCTAAAGAAATCTACTGGACAGTTCTACTTATCAATGAAATGTACAGATGCATGTTAGCTTCGGGCTTCCTCAGTTCCCTCCTTTTTTCTTTAATCTGTGGTAATTTCCCATTTTTTGCTGTCCCATTATACCACTATTGGCACTTTGAAATGTGTTGTTTTTTTGTCTCCCGATTTCAAACGCAAGGACTGGAGAATCTGCTCTACAAAATCCTTTGACATTCCTCTAATTAAACTCTTGTCGGTTATGCAAATGAAAATAAAAATGTCATGAACTCCCCAACAGATGGCATTCATTAAGTGGAATTCCGCAATTTACAACAATTCTGTTGAGCGAAGGATGGTTTTAGAAAGAAAGCTTTAGGATCAATGTTAAAGGCTAGAAAGTCTGAAGATGTATTCGTCTTTGCCTTCTGGTAAACACGTGACTGGATGCTCATTAAAAAGCATGCAGCAGAATCTGCAGAAGAGGATGTCAATTTACAGCCAAGCACTTCTGCTACAGGATTATTGGCTCAACATTCAAACCTTTATTAGTTTGGAGGAGTCCTTTACATTCAAATTTGAAAGACCAATATCAAATCCTGCTATAGTCAACCTCTTATCTTTTTTTTTTTTTGATTCCAGGTGCACACCACATCCAAATGGTGTCAAATAGAGAGGATTAGTGAGCGAGGAAAAACTCCTTCCACCTAATCCAGCATTTTTTTCTATTCAAGTAACTGTATCAATTTCACACCTTTGATTTGGAGCTTAATGCAGGACTTCGTCTGGAAGGTATAATCACTCACAGTTTGTTCAGGCAATGAATGCTCTACATCATTGCCCAGCATTAAAAACAAACACCTTTTAATGAAGTAAATCCTCCCTGCTTCACGTTGACTTTACCGCCTACACCCCCCCCCCACAAAAAAAGACTTCATATTTCCCTGGGCTCCATCTAATGCCTGGAGCGTCATTCATCAACCCACTTTCAGCGACAGACGAACGGAGAGTGGATAGAACAGAACCATCGTGTTGTTATGGTCTTGGCATCATTCTGCTGCTGCAGTGTTCAAACCACACCTTCCTTTGTCTCCATCCATCACTCTCTAACTCTCCCGTCGTCCCACCTCGTCTCGTCTGAAACCTCGTCTCGGGCTGATTAGGGAGGTAATAGGATGAGAAATGGAACGCTGGCCAAAGCACATCTGCCTCTCTGCAGCTGATTTACATTCTCTTATTGCTTGTGGCTGCTGTGAGGAAACGGTCAAGTGATTTGATGTGAGAGGGGTACCAATCTATCTGCTTTGTTCTGCAAGAGTCCATCTAGAATTGTGCAAGCTTTAACAGTTTCATTTGCAACCTAAAATGCCTGATATCACAGGAGGTTTCTAAAATAATAGCAATGCATATACTGGAGAATATGAGTATTGCAAAAGACGTTGCAACTGTGGTTAGTGTTTTATGTTGTTCTTCACAACCTTACCAAAAGTCATTCTAGATTACAAAAGTTCTTACTCAAAAGGATTTAACTGAAGTACAAGTGGGAGTAAGAAGAAGCCAAGTTGTCCATTCTCAGGTGACAAAGACATAGGGCCGATAAAGGTCAGGAAGTGAGAGCATATTTTCCTGTTGCTCCTCTAATTCTCCCTCGATATCCCTCTCTCCACTTTTGTGTTCCCATGCGTCCCCAGACGTCTGGCTTGTAATCGAGGGAACAATTGCCCCCGTGGCTGGCCCCCACTGCGTAACGAGCTCCCTGCCAAGATAACCGTGACTGTGGCAGCAGAGGAGGGCAGTGGCAGAGTGATAAATGAGCCAGATGTGTTGGAGGCAGCAAGGGGGAGGGGGAGGGGGGGGGAGACTGGCACCAGGATCTGATGGGTGGCACGGGACTATTGTGTCTGGGCAGAGAGGTGGAGGCTGCTGGTGAGATCCCTGCTGCTCTCTGCTGTGATAAATACACAGTGAAGTGTGATTTTTCATAATGACAGTCTCTGAGGTGATGAAATCTTTCTCACCGCAATGCAACAGAATGAAACAAGCAGGGCTTAGTGTCTTTTAGGTTTTGGTTTAATTCCTGTGGTTCTTTCAATTTTATCTTTGTTTGAACAGCGGGAGGTTTTAACAGAACGGCGACGCCTACAGACCTTCTTATTGGTTGGTCTTGTATTGGATTGTCAGACCATTAAAATTTTTAGCCAATAATCAAATTTTCCAAAGTCATACACATTTACGATAGACCTCTTAAGCCCTAATAACCATTTCATTGCTCCTGTATCTGCTCGCCAAAGACCTCTCATCACAACGCTCTTCGTCGTCTGGAAGATTCAAAAATATTCGGTTGGAAAACAGATTCACTAAAGAGAGGAAAAAGAGTCCCGTTTTCTTTTTGTAGTTCTACATCCTATGATGATGTAATCACATTGATTTCCCATCAAATATTTGTTACTACGGCTTCTGAAAGGTGATGCATTTAATAATGTGGTAAATATGACATATAATAAAACTTTGACGTCCACATTGGTTGATTGGCGACAACCATATCAAACATGGAGTCCAATGAGAGCACAGAGAGAAACATTTAAACCTAATACAGTTTCAACTACCTTGAAGAGGCAGGATGTATTATTCTCAGACAGGATGTTAAAAATATAGATATCTTTTCATCCTGAAGCAATAATGGTAAAAAATGAGAGAAAAACATGTATTGTAAAAGATTGAGTGAGTACTGTTTGAAATCTTGCAATATGATGTAATTATTCTCTCTTTCTTGTCTCTAAATGGTATTTTTTTCTATTTCAACTCATCATCTCAAAACGAGTTGCATCCTTTTCCCTGTTGTGAAGCTTCTCTGACATGATTTCCTCAGCTTTCAAACAGTAATCGGTTAGGTTTTGCATCTTTAAATGTTAAGTAGTTGGTTAAAGCCACTCAGTTGAGTCACTCCTGCTAGGCAGAGGGAAGGAAAAACATCATAACTCCCTGCTCCTGCCCTCTCTGATCTCTGTGGGCCGCTCACCGCAGGCCCTCTAATAACAGTCGTGGGGTTATCATCCTGCCAGAAATGAGTACGGCAGAAGCAGCCCCACAGGAACGCTAAAGCCTCACTAACTCGACGGTACAGCATGTTTTTCATCCGGAGAGTGGCTGTGTAAATAGGACAGTCACGCACACGAGCTTGTAAAAGGATGTATACAACAGAGAGTTCCATAGGATGTGCTACACAAGGTTACACTGCAACAAAAACTGAAGTGTTTATAAATGTTTCCTCGAGAATGAAAACACTTTTTTTTTTTAAAAAGGCACAAATGTTTCCTTCGAGAATGAAAACACTTTTAAAAAAAAAAGGCACACATGAATCATCGAGAGCCTGTCTGCCCTTGCTCGCTAAACCCAAGGGGACTTTTTATCACGCTGGTTATGCTCTTTACGAGGACCGTCACGTTGGCTAAGGAGCCGTTTCTTTAATCGAATGTGGAGTGCCTGCGAGAGGAGGTCTTTCAAGTCAATCGCCGGTGAGTCACAGCGTCAAGGTCGAGTTTGTAGGGGAAATAAGGATCTTCAGAGGAAGCATAGCGTGTGTGTGTTCGACAGTCTCACCCATCAATGGATGAAATCATTAACCAGGGTGTGTTATTGTTATTTCCCACATACCTTTCATCACTTCAAATTGTTAAGAAAAGAACCAACCCATCCCAAAAATAGCTTTTCCTGCATGGCCGCTTGTCGCATAATGAGGCCTGAGATCCTGATCTAAATTTCCTTGCATTAATGTGCATCTATTTACGGCGGCAAAGAAGTTGCAGGCGTGAGGAAATGGAAAACTTCCCCTCTGCATATTGCTTCTTCCTGTATAGCGGAAGACAAATGAGAATGGCTTTGTTTTCATGCACCACACGGCAAAACAGCTTTCCTAATTGCACTCTTAATGAAATGCAAACACACACTTTGCACACAGAAAGAAAAAAAACTAAATCCACCACACAGGAAAACAGTAACAGCTGGCAGGAGGACGTTCGCCTCTGAGGGAAGGAAGAGAAAACTGGAAATGTAGAGGTGCCGATTTAAGAGCCAGGGGGAACTCCCTCCCTGCATTCATTTACCTTTCCAAGGAGCAGGAGAAGCACCTGGCGAAACCGCAGCCTCTGGAACACGAAGAGGTCGTACACAGCTGACACAGCCAGCACCGTCACCCCCTGCTCCTTCCACAGCATGCTGGCAGCTGCACACCAAAGGCTGCTCAGCATCCAGCCCCAGCAGAGGGTGGCCGAGCAGCCTCCACATTTTTGGCTCTGAAAGGGCCCACGTGATTCCCTACGGAGTCCGCAATGTCTCATGTAGCAGAGGAGAGACAGCAAGAAAAACAAAGCTGCGCCGACGTCTGCCCTTCCGACCACGCCGGCGACCGCTTCAGTGTGAACCGGGTGGGACGCGAAGAGAGCCCGGCAAAAAGGCTCCAAAGTCCTCCGCCCAGTAGAGGGCGACTGAAGGCCGTGAAGAGGAGGGTGACGAGGGCGTGGAGGATAATGTTCAGGAGGTGGTAGCCCCAGGGACGCAGGCCATGCAGGGTGTAGTTGAGGCGGAAGGAGAGGGTGCAGAGCGGGCGAAAGGACTTGTGGCTGCCGCTGTGGGTGAGCAGGGTGCCCCAGAAGTCGTCATAAAGGATGTTGGTCCACGGAGTCTCGGGAAGGAGGTCCTGGTTGGTCTTGATGGCTCGACTACAAGGGGCAGAAGAAAGAAATTGTTATTAATCATGATGCTGGTACACATTTTATTTTGTATCTTCTATGTTGATAAAGTTGTGCGATTTCCATTCTCCCCCCCCCCCATACACCTCAATCGGACCAACACTGGGCTATGTGTGTTTTGAGTATGCACCGAAGTTCCTGTGCTGGGCTTTGACCAGGAAGTTGACTTGCATAGATGTGTAGAAGAAAGCCAGGGAGAAATCAAGCCAAAGGTACACATTTTATGTCGAGTCAGCAAAAGGACTTATTGAGGTACATGCATGGAAGGAAAAGCATTAGCGTTTATTTGAAGAGGTATTCCTTTTCCAGTTGGATGAAAATAATGCAGATGAAAGCCGTGAGAGTGTACTGGAAGCCCTTTAATACCAAAGTGATTATGTTTTCAAATTATAATGAAGACGGAAAGATGATATAAGCTTTTATGTAAATCAAAACATATTCTATATCATGAAAGAAAGCATCTGTAAGTACACACGCCACAGAGTGACTCATTAAAAATATGCAGCCAGGTGGGTATTGTTTCTCTTTCACTCACACACACGACATGCACATATGTCAGGTACCTACACACACACACACACACACACACACACAGGTGTGGTTTCACAGCCCCCGAGGCTGCTGTGGATTCTCATAATTAGCCGATCATTACAGAGGACACGAGCTGCATTCATGTTCACTCACCGACTGCAACAAATGAGGCTCGCCACAGGGATTAAGAGTGATGAACGGCTGGCTGCTCCGTCAACTCAGAGCAGAGAGGGAGAATCTCCCCCCCCCACACAAGACGAAAGATTATTTACAAAAAAAACAATCTGAGCTTTGATCAATGGCAAAGCTGGCATGGATAAGAATAACTTAACAAACGTTGTCGAGATGGGGTGCTGGCTCAGGTATAGGAGGGAGAAAGATGACAGAGAAGATTGGATATGGAGATCAACCCGGAGTTCAGTTTGAACGTTGATGCTCTGTGCTGCAACTGATAATCGATTAGAAGATCAACAGAAAATCAATTTCTGTTTGCATCATGAACTTTTCTTTTCAAATATTGAATCACACCACCTTCATGGCCATCTTTCTTCTCCAGGCTCGTTTACAACAAGAGGTGTTTCCATGCGTGTGCATGGAGCACCAGAGAAGGAAAAGGACAGCGACAGGGGGCCGGCCGGGGGACTTCCTTTGTCTGGAGATTGTAACTTAGTGCTCAGTGCATAAAGAAGAGGGAGGGACGGAGAGGCAGAAGGAAAGAGGAAGATGGAGTTGCCAGTCTGTACTGTAGGCGGCGAGCAGGCAGGGAAAGGCGGAAAATGAGGAAAGAAAAAAAAAAAAAGCACAAACTGAAAGTGCATTCAATCTGGTGTCGGGGCGAGAATTGTTTAATGCCTTAATCCCACTTTAATTGTTTTTTCCTCCGAGCGTACAGCCCTGTCATCGCGTGAGCTATGGTAAATGCCTTCATTTCCCAGGATTGTTCTCCATCAGGGAAAGGCAAGTGTGTGATTCTCAGGCTGTAAGTCCAGCAAGCCAAAGCGGAATTCTCTCCTGTCCGATATTTCAGAGGAGCCGGTGCATTACATCATTAATTCCCCCCCACACACACACTTTATTCCCTGTAGCTCCACAGTGAGCTGATATTTATAAAACACTTCACAGAACCAGTATTTAAATGGAATGATTATCAACGCTGAAAGTTTTATAGCAGCTTTAAATGAGTCGTAAAGAGGATTCAGCTTTCTCACATTTCAACACTGATTCTGCTAAACACACATAAAAGACTCAAAAACATCCACCAAAAAAACTACAAAGGCAGCCATGTTTTCTCCACTTTTCCCCGTCCCTTCAGGCAACAACAGCTCTCTATCAAATCTAAACATGGCTGGATTCACCCTCACCCTCACCCTCACCCGGCTCCCTTGTGTCCCTCAGCATGCCTCGGATCTCAACTCTCTCTGGTGATAAATAATTGAAATATTCAAATCAGCGCCAACCACTCATCTCCCTCCCGTGCTCCATGCCCTGCACCAGAGGATGAAAAGAATGCATTTGGGATGAGGGTCTGAATATAAAACTGGTGTGTGTGTGTGTGTGTGTGTGTTTGTGCCTGGAAGAGCCAAAAGCATGTTAAGGTGTCCGTCTTTGTGTTTGTGAGTGTGTGCACATGTGATGGCTTCATTGAGACCTGTCGCTGCAACCGTGCAGATAGAGTGCTCTCCTGTAGTGATTGCTCTTACAGAAGGGGGTCTTTTGTATTCAGCCGCCGTATGTGGGGCAGGCGGGCGGGCAGGCAGGCAGCAGAAAGGGTGGGGGGGTGGGGGTGCAACTCTATTCACAATCCTCAAAGTACAGGACGGGTTTGGTTCTTTTCAGTTTTCGTATTTTGTGGGGAAGGGGAGGTGAAATCAGAGGTATTTCAATCAGGGGGTTTGAAAAGAGACATTAGGAAGGGTGTTTTTTTTTGTAAAAAAAAAAAAGGGTGAGGTCTTCTTTCACCTGTCCACTGCTGTTAAGAGGACAGAGAATTGGCTGTCTGTCTGTGTTTGGGTTTGTGTCTTTTCAATATGCAAATGCAGCACTCCACCACCTCCCAAACAGTGATCTCACCACCGCGGATGTGCTTCATGGGCTGTGCCTGCTTAAAAATGCATACTGTGGGCCTCTTTCAGGGGCGGCAAAAATATGAGGGACAATTCCTGCGCACTGATTAATATGTAAATGTGACTTTTAAGCCATTATGTGTTAGTATATTAGACACAAAAGGAAGGAGGGCTGGTCGACGAAGAAGAAGAAGAGGAGGAGAGAGGAGTGAATGGAAGCAGAAATAGAAAATGCTGCATCCTCACAACACTTCAAAGGTGGAGCAGAACTGACAGGCAGATGTGTATCCATTGTTTGCCCACCCAATTCTGTCAGGACTTCTCTTCATTATTTATTCTCACTTTTCTATTTTCAGGACAAGTGAAATAAACTGTACACCCCCCCCTTCTCTCATCCCCACATTTCCTGTATTAACTGTACGATCTAATATAGATAAAGGCCCAGAAAATAGTTATTTACTAAATACTCCAGCTACAGTTTCCCTTCCTCCATCCCTCCTGCCCTGATTGTTGTCCCATAATATCTCTCAGGAGGAAAAGGGGCCACGAAGAGACTCTGACGTTTCCTCTCAGATACACCCTCTGCCCCCTCTTAAAAGAGTCGTTTCCTTAAATGCGTCCTTTCAAGGTTCAGTTTACAGATTTCAGTTGACAACTTTCTGCACAAACACACCACACACTTCACTCCGGAACATAAATCCCTCCCCCGCTCTGTAGACTCGTTGAATAAACTGACTTCTTTTTTGTTTTTTTTTGTTTAAATGTTTGTGTGTGTACTATTACATGAGCATCGATACTAGCTGCGATGCACTTCCGAGTCTGTTTTTAAACATACTCTCTCCTCCAGCATGCTCCACTCTACAGTATAAACTACCATCACTTAACATAATCAGGAGCGGCTCAATTACAACCTTTCTAGCAGAGTGTATCCTCCTGCTCCCTGAAAGCTTTAATGAGATGAATTAGCCGAAGGTTTTGAAAACAAAACTGCTCATGTATACTCGACTGGTCAATATGTCATGAAGACATGTTTGTTTGGACCCTAATAAGACGGTGACCTTTTCCACTGATGTCACACTTTTACAGAGAATTAGAGGCTCAGATGTTGTTTTCAAGTCACACTGCTGCTGAGCTTTGCAAAGCTTTTTAACCGTGGAAATCTGACCAATTAAGAAACTCTGCTTTGAGGCGCTGGTAGCCCAGTGGTTCGTGCACAGCTGCTCATGCCCCATGTATAAAGACTGTGGTCCTCCAAGCTGACAACCTGGGTTCAGATTTCGGCCTGCTTGTCATTTGCCAATCATCTCTCCCCTATTTCTGACTCTATCCAATGTCCTGTCTCTAAAAAATAAAGACAAGAGTCCAAAAATAAACCTTTAAAAAAAACACTGCTTTGTAATTGATCCGCAACTGAAACAACCCTTGATAGCTAAAACCAGCGCGATGTAACGCAATGTCAAGATAAAAACCATATTGTTAACTGATTAGCTTCCACTGCGCAGATTAGCATTCAGCTACTTCCTTGCTCAAATTAGAAAGTGTAACACAATATGTGAGAAAAGTCAGCTAGTTTCTTAGCTTACATCACCAAAAGGAAGTGATTCATGCTTCTACATAGAGAACAATATGACGCTGTGTGCTCTTAGCAGTGACAGTTTTTCTGTTAGCAGGCTTTTAGCCATAGATACATTTGAGAAATATCCTACATACTTGGCTAGCTAATTCTTAAGTTAACCTTGCAGTTGAAGCCAGGGTTGAATGCCTTTCCTCTGAATTGTGTATCACTATCAGGGGGGTAATGGCTAAGAAGTAGTTTAATGCTAACGTTAGCTGTCAAATGATGCTAGCTAATGGAATAACCAATGTGTTGCTTGTTTTCCATTTAAATATGGCCCTATGTTCCTCCACATGTACACTATCCATTTTTATCCAGCTGCTGATCAATGGTGAAGCAGCAAAGTGATAATTATGTATCTGATTCTGTATATTTTTACAACTTTCAAATTGCTCACTCCTCATGAGTCGTGTCCATCCATCCTTTTCTCTTATTTTATCTTGAATTGAACATCATGATTCTCTCAGTATCCTCCTTCCATCTTACTCCCTGAACTTTGTCATGGCAACTTTTCTTCATTTCTTTCCCTTTATCCTTTTTTTATCCTTCTACTTTCCCGTAGTAACTCATCTCCAATGGTCTGCTTTAGCACCAAGCCGTTTTTAATACCCCTCGTCTGGACCAAATCTATTACATTTCCATCTCCTGACTGAGCAATCCGAGTGCTAATTAAGCACAAAGACTGAGCAATGCGGCAGACAGGCCTATTCACACAAAGCTAATCTTGAGCTGGTGCACCGCTGAAGTAAACACGCCGCTGA